GCAGCTGGATATGCATATATAATTTTATCAGCATTATTCCTGGAGCAGCAAGACTCAAACGTTTGTTCCTGTCCTTTAACAGATGCTCATGTTTGCCCTGAGTCCTAAGCTGCTCCAGTGGGACTGAAACCCTCAGAGAGGTCCCACAGTTTAATGCTGCTGTTGATGTACTTCTGCTGCACTCCAATGCCAGTTTGCCATCCCCACCTCTTTTACCATTATTTCTTTGGGAAGGAGCAATGGACAGTGCCCTGCAGCTGTCATGAGCTGCAAGACACCTAAGATGATGCATACTGTATCATTCCATGTCACCACAAACAAGGCAGAGAAAAGCAGGGTTCAGCAGACACACAGCAGACAAAAAATATCCTCTCTCTGCCCTGAAAGGCTTCACAAATTCATGCAGATCAAGCTTCAACCAGAAAGGGCTTAGCCACAGGGTCTCTGGAAACACCTGAAAGGGTGACAGGTGTCAGGGTGTTTTCAAGGATCATCTTGGAGGGTGAATGGACAGTGCCCCCTCTGGCTCCCCCTGGCATGCTCTCAGTCATGGCTCTGCAATCCATAGCTCAAACGTTATTCAGCAACTGGGACATGAATGGAAAAGTTTTAATTGATTTCAAAAGTCCTTGAATCTGGGTCATAATATGCAACTGAACTTTGGACAGTAAAATCCTTTGGGCAGGAACATTGTTTTATTAAACTGACAGTCACTTACACCTCCACCCACCTAGAGCATTGCAGAAATGATCAGCAGGAAGATCTGAGCAGTGCAACACTCTGCCTTTGAACATCCCTATCTCGGGCCATGGCTCACCTGAATTAAAGGTTCAACAGAGCCAAAACTTGGTCATATTAATAGATCTCAGGCATCACAGCTCTGCCTGACCACAAAAACACCACAAGCTATTATAGAAGGAAAAAGATCTTGCAGGGTTACACAGAGGACAATAAAACTGGTCACATCTTCCACACTCTTGCCTTTACCCTGCTAAGAAGAGTAGCATCTCTGTAGTGCACAAGGAAAAATGGACCTGGAGGGCAAATTTACCTGCTATTTTAATATTTTAAATTTAAGAAATTAAATATAAATCTAAAAGAAGCCCCTCTGATAAAATCAGCTTTGATACTGATCCATAGATTTAAAGCTATAAAGTGTTTTGTTGGCCAAGGAGAAATCATTATTCCAGCCAAGCCTCAATAAATTTCTATGTTGTAGTTCCTAAAATATTTTCCTGGAATTTATGGCATCATTGGAACTTACTCCTTACACTTTTTAAACACATAACTGTATTATTTTGCCAGTAATTTTATGTTTTGCACTAAATCACTGGGTTATGAATGTTCTCATTCTTTTCAGACTTTGTCTTTTGCAAATCAAATTAATCACAATTTAGAAGTACATAAACTTGATAGGACATTTTTATAACTTTGTTGAGTATTTCAAACTGGATGTACACAAAGCCCATTAAAATAAGAAAATATCTTGAATCAATATTATTTGAGTTCATTTATCAGTGTTATAGAATAAATCAAAGTTTCTAGAATCTGATTTAGGCCACTTTGTAGCTTCAGTGACAGCCACAAATCACGTACACACATACAGATTTCCTTACATCTCCCCAGTCTCCTCTGCAAAGAAATCTGTTTCCTTTTTGTTCACTCAGCCTTCTCAATTCTCACTCTTTCTGCACTCTGAGCCTTTGTTTTATAATAAAACAACACACTCTACTACTTATAAGAGAGTATAAAGAATTAAGAAGTCTGTGTACTCCATTGGTGCTTCCCTAGAATTATCTTTCCATACAAGTTGTTGCTTTCTCTTTCTCCACCTTCTGCAGCTGTAAAATGCCAAATGTCTGCAGCCAAAGAAAGGCAGAGATTTATTAACCCAAGCCAGACTTTGAGAACTGCAGAGGAAATTTCTGCTGAGCAGATGCCCCACAGAAGGCATTTGCAACACCTAAAATTAACTTACCTTTTCAAGGTTCCCAGTTCTGCTGCTAATGTTATTTCAGTTCTAGTTCTTGCTTATCCTCAATGGCAGAGTTTCAATACACTCACCACACTCAAACAATTGCAGCAATCAGGAGGAATGGCAGGTAACATCTCAGAGAGGGACTTGTTTTAATCACAGGGTGCAAGTCCCATCAGGAAAAACATCTGCCAGCGAGATGCTGCAGATACTGTCCACAAAAATGGACTCATGAACTATATTAGTACACTCTGACCTCCTCTGATTTCTAACAATAGCCCCTTTTTGGTCCTTGTAAGCCTTGCATAAATACACTCTGATGCAGTTCACAAGCACCCTAAAATTCTTAACATCTCTCTTGCCCTTCTTTGATGAGCAGTTGATTTGTCAGCTCTCCACAGAGCTGGTGGTGTCCCAAGAAACATTATGATCCAAAGTTAATTTGATGAGTGGACTATAAAACCTGAAAATAGTGATTTGTGTAGGATACATTGAGACACTTGTGACAAGGACAACACAGCAGCAGCTGGTGTGATAAAACTTATACTGAAAGATTATTTGAAGGAATAGAACAATTCAAGTAATTTACTTGACATGAAAAAATGTGGTTTACAGCTGTACATCTTAGTGGTCTGCTTTCAAATAAAAAACCAGAAAAAACAGTGAGAAATAAGTATATATTCAATTTATAATATATAAAAAATATATAAATGAAAAAATACATAAATGTGTAATTTCTATTGAGATCTTCATATATTAATAATTATGTGACTTTTTATTCAGACCATTCAGGAAAAGAAATCAGAATGATAGATCCAGAGTGAGACTCTCCTTACACTAAGCCTTTCACATATGATCATGGAAAATCTGTCAGGCTTGGTATTTAATATCAAAGTCTTGCAGAGCAGCACTGGAAGCATCCAGACAAATGCCATGTCTGAGGCACAGCCCCACCTTGGCAAGGTCCCAGGCAGTTCTGTTTCCTGGGGGGGCAGGTCCCAGCAGGGAGCAGGACACCTGGTAGCAATAGCACGTGCAGAATCAGGACCAGCAAGAGCTGGGAGCTTTTGTTAAACCTGACAGTTTAACCTACTGCTGAAAAAGGAATTTATGGACTTCTAGCCCTGATTTAAATCACTGATTTATTGCTTTCATTCTGTCCCGAACTTTTCCCAGTGAAAGCCTTTGTATTAACAACTCCACTTTTCTTAGCTGAATTTCTTGGTGGAGATTCCCTTTGCGCTCACTCTTTATCCAAAACCTACTTTTTACCACTGCTTTGTAGTCACATGAGGAATTTCCAACAGAGTGGGGTAAAATTTTTCAAAAACTAATATATTCATCAGGAAATATCTTGTTGTAACCATATATAGAAATATTTGAGAATTCAGGTCAAATTCAGCAAATAATTTGAAAACAAAAAGGTGGAATAGACAAATAATGGTTAAATATTTTACTCCAATATTTGATAAACAAAATTTTTGATCTGCTGATGTCATATTATTGCTTTATCTCATGGGATTAACTACTTTAGTAAAGAAATATTTTAATGACATTTTAATAAAATCAAAATAATGAAGTTGTTTATATTAAAGCTGTTGAGTTCAAAAAATCATTTAAAGTATTTCCAGGAAAGAAAGAATTTTAAAAAGACTGCTGGAAGTAATTGTGAACCATGATCCTCTCAATCAACTATTTTGATTTGGTGATTTAATAGGAGGTGGGGATGGGAAAAAGCCTTTTACCCATCTCATTATTACCCCAGACCTCCCCTTGGTACTGAACTATGAAACCAAGGATGAGCAGCCATCACAATTAACACTGGCACAGCAATTACGGCCATGATCTATCTGAGCCTGGAAAAGTGTGTGAAGATCTCATCTAAGGTGCACATTGAATCTGATTTTAAAAACCCCAATAACACAGCATTGAGGTTTAAACTAAAGTTTTGTCCTCATACAAGTAGTACCACATATTTCAGCTACCCACAATATGTTAGAAAAATTATTGCATTGTTAGACTGCATATAAATGATGTGCAATATCTGGAATGAGGTGCAGGAAATGTCAGGGACATTCATTTTATCACTGCTTCATAGGATGCCCCAAGAAGAGACATGAGTGAAAGCCTGAGAGCAGATAGGTGCATGAAAAATGGACCTCTTTCCCTTCCTGTTCAGAAATCCTGAAGCACTGGTTCCTCACTGCAACACAACTTCTCCTGGCTAATAGCAGTAAGCAAAAGAGACACTGAATGAGAGGAACAATTTCTAGTGGCTGTTTATTATCAGAGTTACAGCCATTTAGTCTAGTGTGGAAAAACTCAATCCTAAGAAATTTCTTTTTCTCACACTCCTAGAAGAGAGACTTCTCATGCCACAAAGGCACTGCACTGCCTGCAACACAGCTATTAGCACACATATGGATATCCTGTCTGCATTCTTCTTAGAATTTTATACAGCAAATTTACTCACTGTTTTTTAGAAATTCATGAAAGTACAAATAAAAAATGGGCAAACAAAAACACAACAAATATTAGGGAAAAAAATCTAATGTCAAACACTGTGCAAAGTCAGAAAAACTTTATGCCATTTGAAAAAATCAAGGCACGAGTAAAGGTGTCCATATATAGTTTTGCAATCCATGCTGTGTGTGGTTTACCAAACTATCAGCAGCTCATAAACATGAGGGGAATCTTACATTCTTCAAAACACCTCACATTAACTTCTTACATTCTTAAAATAGACCATAGAAATGATCTTGCACTCTTTCTTTGCATTAGGAGCATTTCACCCAGCATAGGTGGTATTTGGAATATAATCCAAAGGATCTGCCTTTCCCTTTGCAATCCTTCAGTTTACCCAATACTGAAACTCATTCTACCACCAAAACACCCATAAATCTAATTACCAATGTGCAGACTCTACTCATCTAAGAAGGCAGGTATGTCTGGCAGAAGAATGATAACTGTGAAGAGAGAGAAATAAACTTTATCCAAGTGACTGACAATGATTTGTCAAGCTTACCCGAGCCTTGCACTCACTCAGTGGTAGGAAGCAGCTAGACAGATCTTAGACTGAATCCAGCCCTTATTCTGTTCTTAGGTTATCCAATATGTTATACCTTGAAAACAACGCTTATGTAAGTGAAGTTACAGAAGACTCATATTTCATATGTAGAGAAACAGCTGCTTTTTTAATTTAAAAAAACTAAATTAAATCATAACTTAAAAGCTATGTCCCGTCATCTGTAGAACATGCCAAATCATATGCCTGAAATATAAAACTGATGCTGAAATTCTGGTAATATTTAACATGTTCTTTATGAAGAAAACATTCTTCTTGAGCTTGGAAACTGACTGAACAATAGCAGCTTTAGGACCTCCAAAGCCGAAGGCGTACAGAGGTTATGAGAATGTGTCTGCCCAAAACTACAAATCAAAAGAGTAACAACAATACCATATGTTACAGAACATAAAGTATCCTTCACAAACACTATAAAACCCCCACATATCTCTGCCTCGAGAGTCCCACTGGCCAGTGGAAGGTTGTGTTTCATTATGCTATCACCATATAAGAACATTTTTTCTCCATTTTTAATGGCATGCCGAAAACCTAGTGGTACCACTGAATGACCTTTGGAGGGGTAAGATTAAGTAGTAGTGACAGAAGATTGTCTTTGGCCTAGTACTTTTTAAAAATGCAGAAGCTGATTTCATAGAGTGACTCCAGCTGTCTTTAAACTACAGCCAAAAATTCATGCTAGTTTGGAGTTTTGGGGTTTTTTGGCTGGGTTTTTTTATTTATTTAATGTATTTTTAATTTAGGGAAGGTGTATGGATTTGTCTATCCACATAAGATTCTTTTCTTATTGGAGTACTTCTCACACAAAACTACTGCAGGTCCCTCTAAGGTGCTACAAAATACAATAAAATCCTTTAAGGTGCTCAAAGATGTTACAAAATGTAAAGAAATGGACACGTCCAGATGGGCACAGGGACTCTGCACCCAAACAGAGAGGGGAGAAAATTAGTGACCCTCCTTGTTCCAGCTGCACAGAGGCCCCAGGCTCAGGGATTTATAAACCCTGTCACTGGGTGAAGAGAAATATGGGAGAAAGGCAGCTTCTCCTACGTCTCACTTCAGCAGCAGGAAGTTTGCCCTGGAGTGCCTCCATTTCTTTTGGTAATAGATTATTTCTTCTCTTGCTTGCAAGAGAGAGCGATGCCTTCAAGCATCTCCAGGTCACAGATGTGCTGGAGGTGGCCTGGTTCTGCTTCAGTAAAGGCACAGAGAACTTGCTCAGCACAGACTCCTGCAGCAATGGGACCTGCATGAAACCCAGAACTAAGAGCAGTGAACATATTCCTACAGTCCATTTAGGATCCCTCTGAAATAAAAGAATTAAGCTTTACATCAGTGCCAGGAGAAAGCACAAAGAGGCACAGGGGAGGTCAAGCTTTGAGCTGTAAAGTATCTGCCCCTGGGGCCTGGATTAAAGTGTGCACACATGCAGCTCTTTGCTGAAGGTCACCTCTCTTCTGAGAAATATTAGCATAAAACTATCTTTAGGTTGACTAAACATAAACATGAAGCATAAACTTTATCTATAGCTCCCCCAAATTTTAGGAAGTATCTGGAATACTCTTAAACAGCTTTTTAACTAGAAGATAATGAATAACAAAACTGTCAGCCTCTCTTTCCTGTATTGATTTCAGAGAGATTTTCCTTACTCCATTAAAATTGCCATTTCAGTTTTCCAGCAGGAACATTCAATCTTGCTCAGCAGAACTTAATCACAGCCTATGTCTGGTTTACATGGAAGTTTGGGTAGACCCTTTCAATATGGTTATGAGAAGAGAAATTCCCAGATTGCCTATACAAACACTCCAGTCACAAACTGACTTGTGGATTCTTCTGTATACATTGTCTAATCAGAAAAAAAATTACACAAAGACAAAATAGAAGAAGTTTATAACTACATGAAAAAAACAGAACCCTTCTCAGATCTTCCAGGAGGAATAAGGCTTGAATAGGCATTTACAGATATTCTCTGTGCTGAACTCTTATATATATTCTTTGACTTAGCAATAGAGAAAATTACAACTTTGAGCAATTAATCAGTAATTAAAGGTGTTATAAGTGTTGTGGGTGCTAGAGAGAAAAGCTTTGGTGTACTCATTTGGAGATATTTTAGATCTGGGATGTGGATTGTCAATGGGAAACACTGTTTAGGTTTCCCAGCAGCATAGAAGATCTAAAAGGGAACTGCTGTAAAATTCAGCCAAGCCCAGCACTCCTCTTACCCAGAGCACCACCACTGAACAATATCCTTTTCCTTTGCCTCATGCCACATGAACAGAATTATCTATAGATGGGGCTGAGGAGAGACAGCGACAAGAAATCCTTCCAGGCTAGGACTTAAATCCTTGAATTTCTGATTGAACTGCAGATTACTGTGGCCATATGCTGCCTTTCCACACCAGGTGGAATACACTCTATCAGATCTGCCATTGCCAAGACAGCTATCATTTTACACTTTTAAAAGATTTATGCCCCAATTGTCTTCTTTCTCTCAGACAGAGGGCTTGCCTATGTGGGAAATTTGCTGTGCAGTAAGCCAAGCCACATGCTTTTCCACAGTAATGCTCTGAATGTACACTTTTAGGGATGAGTATTGTTACATGGGTGGTTTTTTTTGAGGCACTCTGACAGAATATATGCTTGGAAATTGGTGCAGAGAAGTTATGTAAAATGCACAGCATCCCATGCCACAGACTGACTTACTCTGGTGAAAGTTGGTGTAAATAAATTCCCATAAAACTAGCTGAGAGAAAAAAATGGTGTTAAGGTCCAGCCTCCCTCTTCATTGCTCTTTTCCTGTCTCTGTATAGGCTCTAGAGCTTTCCTAAGTGCAACTCCTTCACAAGTCTGGCAGTCCTGAGGCTTATTGCTGTGGTCTGTAGTCAGACAAAGCAGAAGAAAGATATTTCAGCATTAATGGAGCTGAAGCCCTTTGGGCCTGCAAGCAAAAGAGAAGAGAGAGAGAGTCCAAAAACTTTGGCAGGGCTTTTCCATTGGAAGAAAGTAGTTTCACCACAATAATGTGCTCACTCATTTCTGCCACACTGGCATAATATAAACATGAATGATATAAATAATGTACTTGGGAGAGTTGGCTGGGCTGGACGTAGGCCGGAGCCTCAGGCTCAGGGCTGTGAGGGGCTGAGGGCCACAGCCCTTACTACTGTGGGGACAGGCCGAGCTCCCTGCACGCCAGGCCGGACAACTGCTGATTTTAATTTCTCCTGCTTTTTCTAATGTTTTAAGTGCTCATTTCCTTTCATGCTGACATCTGAGCAGTATTTATCCCTTTCACAGACTGATTCCCTCATCCCAGAGCTTCCCTCTGGAGCTGCCTCTGTAGTTCTGCCCAAGCCTGTTTGTTTTCCTGCTCAAACCTTGCAGAGGAAGAGGCATCCCAGGACAGACAGTGCAGCTTCCATGGGGGGAGTGTGTGGAGCCTCTGCCCCAAGCAGGGCCGACATGAAGCACCACAGGCAGACCTGGGGCCAAGGCAGCCCCAGGAGATCCATCACCCTGAGCAACAGCACAGCTCTGCCATGCCATGGCCAGACAAGCCCTTGGGAAGGATCTTCTTGTGCTTGCAGCTGAAAAGTGGGTAGTTCGTCAGAAGAAAAATCCCATCCCTCACTCCAGCTAGCTGCATAAAGAAAAGCAAGAACCAGGGCGGGCAGATTTATCATCGAGAGCACCCACATCCATTTAGTTCCAGTAAGAGGTAATTCTGAGTGTTCACTGGAAGTATTGCACTATCACATTTATGGCAGTGCCACATATGGAGAGCATAAGGTGTTGTTGTGCCAGGTACTGTACATTATTATTATTTGTACTAGCATCGTGCCAGGAGCCAGGTGCTGTACAACATAAACCAAAAAGTAATTCTCTTCTGCAGACAGGTTACAGAATAATAGCAAAGGTGACCATCCCTGACCTGGACAGCTTAGTCTAGATCAGGACAAAAGAGAACACACATCAGACAGCAGGGTTAAATAAAATATTTGTTTACTTCACAGATAGGGTCTTTGTCTAACTGGAGTCAGGACTGCAACTCTTGGAGAAAGCCAGAAGGAGTGAACAGACACCTTTATCACACCATGTTTGTTCAGGGTCCTTTTTGAAACATTTTATCAGAGACATCAAACTGCTGAAAGAAAACTGCTTTTGAATTTTAGTTCTGCAAGTAGAAATGACCACAAGACACAGAAGAATTAAACACACAGATTTTACTCTGAGTCAATGCTTCATTTGCAAACACATATGCAAAACACTGCCTTGCTCACAAAAAAGCAAACATTATAAATATCTATTCGAGCCCAGTAGTTTTTTCTTCTGTAGGTGAAGACTGAAGAACCCTGAGCAGACAATTTCTCACTGCACTTGTGTGTGAGGTCTGGCCTCAACTCTGCCAGGTAGCTTCTCCATGGAAATGGACCTTTAAATCCTTTAAAGCAAAGGAACTCATCACATTAAACTCATAGCTCTTATCTGTGGCCTGAAAGTTAAGGGAAAGAAATAATTCCAAACCAACATATTAAGCTTAGAGCTCAGTTTTTATATCAAAACTGTAATTTTTCAAGCGTCCTTACACCAACTCTTACATTCCTCATCACCTGCTGCAGCCGAATGGGATCTAAATTTTAAAAAGAGCAAAACAAGAGAAAAAAAGGGTAAATAATAGCAATTTTTATGGGGAGAATGTTGCTTTAACACAGCATAGTGCTTCAGTCATGGGTGGAAAGCTAATCTGGGATAAATGGCATCTGGAAGCCAAACTTGCATCTCCAGGGACACCATCAAGCTGGTAGACCTGGCTGAATGAGAGATGACACAGGAGAAAAAACCAAAGACTTGGCTTGATCTTTTTCCTTTTTCTTGGGCATGCAAATTTCAGATTTTAAAGTTTGAAATTATAGCAGAGTTTCAAGAAAATAAACAAAAAAGGTGTGGGATGGATTGTAACATGATTTATACATTCTTTGTCAAATAGACTTTCTGCCTCCTTTACAACTGGAAGGCAACATTCAAAGTATCTAAGATAATTTACTCAATACTTTGGACCTTATTGATCAATTATATTCTTTTCATATTGTTAAGAAGATCCTTTAAGGTTTCCTTTGCCAGAATGAGAGTCTTCATTGACACAGGTTTTCAAAGGAAAGCTGTAGCAAAGAAAAAAAGTATCCTCTTTTTTGTTGAATTATAGAAACAATGCCAAAAGTTTCACCAAAAAGACCCTAAAATTCATAAGAAAATATAGATAAAACATCAACATTTTTCTCAATTTTTCAAATCATGTTATACCTTATTCACCAGGAAATCTGAGCAAAAAACCAACAGAAACTCTTGTAAAGACCTTTATAAAAATCTGTTTAGCATGTCTTCCTTTTGATTTGGCTGAATGCAAAAGGGAAGTTTGAGAAATTTAAGGTTAGGGCAAACATGCCCTAGGAAAATCCATTCAAATCCCATTCCAGAAGCCCCTGGGTTTTGCTATGTGTCCCTCCCCCAGCTCCCTTCATCTTGGTGCTCATTGTCATGTATCTCAACCCCACACACAGGGTCTGAACCATTGAACTGCAGTTTCACCATTGTCCCTATAAGGTGGCGGATCACAGTCCTAGTCTTTTACCTGCCTAATCCTTTCTCACAGAGGGATGCCCCTAATTCTAATTAACTGAGTGCCTTTGGGTCCCTAATCTATGCAAAATCCTTTTCAAAATTTCAAAACTATAAAAGTGCCAGGGAAGTATGTATATTCCAAGATCCTATATGGAAAACAGAAGAATTTTCTTACCCAGACATAGTCTTTGTGATTATTTCTTGATATGTGTGAATCTTGCACTTTTAGTATAGAAACTGCAGATTATTTGACAATGAAAGTTCCCCCTGAAAGGGGTAGGGCTGGTTTTAAGATGATGGAGGCATTCTGTGGCTAAAACCAAAATATTTTCTAAGGCAGGGTGGAAAAGACAAAGACTAAAAGTTCTCCTTGCTGAAAGAGAGACTCAGAGGTGGTCTCAGGCTAGTTGTAGAGGCTGGCATTGATAATCATCAAAGTAGAAAAAAAAAAAATGAATAAAAAATAATAATAAAAAAAAAGGAGCTCAAGGAGAGTACTCAAAAGACAGGTTCTCCCAGATAAGTCTTCAGGAGTCATCACTTGGCAAGTGCTGACAGTGTTATCAAAGCTGAAATACCAAAGCACACCCCTCCAGGGCTGGGCATCCTGGCTGGGCAGTATTAGGGATCTTCAGCACACAGCTGTAACCTGGTTGGAATTAGTTCCATGTGCCTTGGGAGGAGACAGCAGAATAAGTGCTGCTCCTATGACAGTCCCACGCTCTCTGAAAGAGATCCTTCAGAAGCTTCAGAAAATGTACTTTAGGAAAATTAACTAGCTACCCAAATTTATTCCTCTTTAAAAATGTATTTTACAATTCCTGGAGCTAGATCTTGACATGTTTACTCCTGGGATTTTTCACTACAAGAAGTTCCACATAAAGCGCTGTTCCTAGTAAACAATAGATATAAGAATGTGGCTGGGAATGAAACATATGAAGCAACATCTATTTCCTAGTGGATTTCATAATTGGTGAAAATAACATTAACAAAATACAGTTTCTCCCTTCCCCAGTGATTCTTCATCTGCTTACTGAATATTGTGGGTTTACCAAACCCTCTGCAAGCTGAATGAGAGCCTTGGCCATTTGAGAGTCTCCCAAATCAACAAAATGCCCCCTCCTAATTCTCTCTCTGTTAGAATTTGTTTTGCATGGAATTTATTTGCCCGTTTTGCATGAGCTGTTTGGCTATAATCTCAGCAGCATGCAGCCTTGCCAGATTTCAGAAAGATGAGTAAACTTCTGAATCTGATAGTGACTTCAACAGAATACCAAAAAGGGGCTTCTTTGTTCTCCATAAACAGACTATTTACTTTGATCTGGCAAAATGAATTAATGAAAGGAAATGACACCTTCCAATTTCGTGTGTTCAGGAGAAAGAGAAGTGGGCTTAATTTAGTTTGTCTTTTTTTTTTTTCCTCTTCCTTTTTCTAAGGATGGAGTAGGCTAAGGAGCATCCTTTCGAAAGTACAGAGCTCTTAGAAACAGACAGATCTTTTCTCTGGTAAAAAGTCTCCTCAAAACACTGTAAGGTCCATGTATATGCAAGCAGTTCAGAGTTATTACAAATCTAAAATAGGAAGCTATTCACTTGATCTTTTGGTTCAATCCTATTAGGACCCCCCTGGAGCTCTAAATGGATACCAGCCTGTCACAGGCCTGTTGCTGTGACGACCCAGTCTTTACTGAACAAGAAAAAGAAATGATAGTGATTGGCAGACCTTCCTTGCCCTAGTATGTAACACAAAGGGAGACAAAATGAAGAGGAAGTCAGACTGTTATTATGGGTTTGATGCTTCTTAACCTTACAGCACCTTACACCTGGTAAGTGTCACCCTGCAAACTTAAACCCTCAGCAGAGCGCTGTAACATTTCAGTATCAGATGGGAAGAGCTAAATCAGGCATTAATTTACCCATCCTCTTGTTTCAGTTGATTGAAATGCAAACAGCATTTGAGCAAAACTGCATTAGCAGAGAAGAAATAAACATGAAGGGCCAAGCCCTGCTCGCCTGGCCCTCAGAAGTGAGTTTAGAGGTGTAAAAGCTGTAAGTCAAGCAGGATTCATCCCAGAGTGTAAATGAATGAGTAGCCAGCAAAGCAAGGACTGCAAGAGGGAACTGTCTGCAGCCCCTATTCGCCCTGCATGAGAGAGGAAAGAATTTGATAAATTCTACCATATGGTGCCATGCTGTATCTTGCTAGCTATAAATAATAGTCTTTCTGTTTCTGGTTTTCTTTAGCTTTCCTTGGTAGCTGTGACAGATTTTCAGCAATGGGTATAAAAAAAGTGTAAAATGCAGTTTCCCCACCTTTTTATTTTCTTTAAACCAGATTGAAAAGAAAAAAGACAAAAAAGATCCAAAGAAAAGGAATAAAATAGGAAGTTTTCCATTAGCTTACCAACATGAAAATCCAGATAAAGTCATTGTGATGTTAGAATATTGTACATTTAATTGTTTCTATTAAGAGCTGTCAATGAAAATGATTGCTTAAGAGTGACAGATATACACCTGCATCCACACTGCTGGAGCTATATCTCTGTCTTATGCATGTTTTTCTTAAACTTAATTATAAATTTTTTTACTATCACATAAGAATCTTGAAAAAAATCCCAGGAGCCAAATACCTTTCTCATAGCCCCACAGAGAAAGTTCATGTAAAACTTTTATATTTTCATTCCTTTCCAGGTTCTTTTAAAAACAATGGTTTTTACTCATGGACTTTCAAACAGCGTTTCTGACATTTGTGGAACAATCTTGTCTTTAAGAGTGTCACTAAACAAATGTTTTCTTGAGTAGTCAGATGAAATCCAATAAACCATGATCCTTAATGATGGTATAAAAGTTTGCTGCATTAGCGTGCTCAAAAAATGATGTTCTCTAAAGATAATAAGGGAAAGTTAAAATAGCAAGAACAGAAAATCTGGCTGTATTCTGAAAAGGCTTTTTAGTACTGTAAGTCAGAGTTCAAAACATTCATTTTCTTGAACAAGCAAAGCTGAACTTTTTAAAGGTTTGACGGAAAAGCACTTACTCTTAAAATCAGATTCAAAACAGTAGCCCAGACTTTTGGCTGACATAGGCCAAAGTAGTTTCACTGACTACAGTGAAGTCACACTGATATAAAGCAACAGAGATTCTGGTACAACCTTCTAAAAGCTTTTTTTTACCTAAAATTTAAAACAATGTTATGTTATGGAGTCTTTTGGGTGAGGCTTTGGGTGTTTACATTTACAGCTGTCCACCATTCTCTCTCCCTAACCCCTCACTTCCAAAATGACACCCACTCCTAGAGCAAAATGCATAATAAATAGGGATATGTGTTATTATGAAGATAGGGATTTAAAAACCTGTCCAATATTTCTCAGAATTTTAAAAAGCAAGGAATTTAGCACAAATTTAATCCTATATTTTCTTTAGTCTTTATACAACTTAATTTCCCCCACACCTTAAAAAAGATTGTTTATTAACTTGTTGAGAGGAGATATGCTTCTAACAACATATAAACATTCTGCCTGAAGAACTCTGCATTCATAAATAAAACAGAAGCTTTTGTACCTGCTACATTTGCTACATATGTAGCATTTACCTGAAAAAAATATTTGTTAACCAGGACAGGAAAAAGGTTAAAGGTTTAAAAAAAAAAATTATAAAAAGACTATATTTCATTTTGTCCTGGAGAAAGTATGAAATATGCTGCTTTTTGCATACCAGTAATCTAAACTATCCCACAACAGACTTTGTTAATCACTGCCAATTGAGAAACTTAAATGAATTCTTCTTTTACAGACCCTTGTTCTTCTTAAAAAAAAAAATAAAAAAAATCAAAAAACAAAACAAAACAAAACCAAAATGAACAAAACCCAAACAAAAACAACAACAATAACAAACCCAAAAACCCCCAAAAAACAAAAAACAAGATAGAACTTTCAAGAACAATAAATTGAGTCTATTATTTTCTGATAAGCTGAATTCATGTATATATAATTTTATTTTTTTTTCACAATGCAAAATGAGTTTTCATATGGCAGCTTTGTAATGACAAGCTGAGGTTTTTAAAATGAAATAAACACTTCAGCTTGCCTGAAACGAATATGTTTCTTTTTCTAATGTTTCAGAAATTCAGCAATTAAGACATGTTTTTTCACGAAGAAAAATTATTTGTTTTGTTACATCATCACCAAAAGCCATATAACATATTTAAAAATTCATATTACTAATGTACACTATTCCAGTAAGGAGAAATGGGAAATGTTTGTCAGTTCCCATTTCAAGAAAGGGATAACTGATAACACAGTTTCATGACATATCTTTTATTTTTTAAAATTTGTACACACGGATTTTATGGTTTATGAAAACCTATTTATTTTTATAGTATCATTTAATGAAGAAGTTTAAAAAATAAAGAAGGAATTTAGCAAGATGGAAAAAGCAAGCACAAGGAATCTAAAATCGGATCACATTTTTGCCTGCATTCTGCACAGCAAGAATCGCTTGTTCTGTAAACATAATGACTTTAGAAGTCATTTGCTAATACCTTTATTTTATTACCATTATTGCAGCATGATAGCAGCAGCTGGCAGTGTGAAGTTCCCCTGCATTTGCTGGCATTGGCACAGGTACCACTGCCAGCCCTGAGTCCCAGCAGAGCAGCGGAGCTGGGCAGCGCGGTGAGGATGGCGAAGGCAGCAGCGCTGCTCCTGGGCAGCGCAGCCGGAGCTGGCCCCGGCAGGAGCAGCTCTGTCCCTGCCCGCGGGATGCGCAGGGGCTGGGCACCACCTCCTGGTGCGCTGGGGAACAGCCGGCTCCCGCTCCCCCATCCCTTCCTCATCCCGCTTCTCTCTCCTTTCACCGCTTTCACCCCTAGCTCTTTTTCCATCCCTTCTTTAAAACTTAAGGGCCATCAGTGCCGAAATCCCTTATGCTGCCCTGCTGTTCCCCTAAAACGCAGGGATGAAGCAGAGGGGTTTTACATCCCCTCTTGCTGCCCATCTCCAAGAACACCTCTGTGGGTAAAGCCAGAGCTGTGCACGTTGCTGGTGGGTCCCAGTCTGGGGAGCATGGAGACCCTGGAGGGATGGAAATCCCCCAGACCTGCAAGGAGAGGTACACTCTGGACTGACAGTGCTGGTGGCACTGCCACTTCTGCAGCTCCAGGCAGGATGGTTTGCACAGAGCCTTTGTCACAGCTCTGTCCCCTCAGCCATCACCGCTCTCAAGCTTTCATCAACCTGACCAGAAGGTTCCAGAGAAACGCTCAAGGATTTTGTCTGAAGGCTTTCAAAAATGAAGAGAAATATTCCTGGAGGTTCCAGCAGGCTCTGAGTCAGGTCCAGAGCTCATAAATTCCCAGGATAAGACCACTCTTGGAACAGACAAGTCTTATTACCTCTTATGCTCATTGAATGGCATCCTAGATAGGTCTGTGGGGTTTCTGACACAGAAAAGGGATTAAACAGAGCAAAAGGCAAAAATGCAAAATCCCAGAGCTCCTGAACTGCATCCTTGTCTCTTGTGTTGGCAGAGCCCCTGTGTGATGGGGATTTGGCCCCATAAGTGTAGTAAACAGTCTAGAGCAAAACAAAAGAGCTAATAAAGGGGTTTCATCATCTGCTTGGCTTTGCAATCCCAGCTTTAAACAAAACAAGACAATACCACTATAATACCAGAAAAATAAATGCTTTTCTTTCTTAGGTTCATAAAACACTCATTACCCATAATTAATCATAATGACATGCTGTATTCAGGCCTCTAGCTAGGTTCTGGCTGGAAGCGTAAAGAATTGGCTTTTCACATCTTCCAGTGCCTTAGCCAGTATGTTCTTCAGGATGCAAAATTGATTATCCAAAATAGAAATCTCTTCGTTTCCTTTGTTTTTGTTGTGTTGAAAAACCTATTACTTAGTTGTTAAGTCTCTGCATTTTCTACTTCCCTGAACAATGGGCTATTTAACTCCACTGAAGTTAATGGGTTTGCACTACAGTGAAGGTAACCTAGCACCTACAAAGTCATTAAAAGCTTAACCAAAACTTGACCAAAACTTGGCCTGATTCTCACTTACTACTTTGGGCCCCTACTGAAATTTTTAATAAATTATGTATGTCTTAATACTATCTGCTGACAACAGACCCCAGGATATAATATATAATATTGATTTTAATTCAATCTCTCCTTGTCAAAATACCAGTTGGTACTATTTCTAAATATGAGGCTAAGATTTAAGGCAAAATAACCCACAACATCATAAACAGTTGAATAATAAATGTTCATGATATATTATAAAAAGTACAAAAAATCTTTGATTCTAAAATTAAGAGTGCAAAGAGAAAGCAAATGTTGTATATACATCACCCCAGCCAACTATGATGCTTAAACTAAGAGTACAATTCTGCTGAAAAGATTTTCTTCACTCTCACATCACTTACAGGGAACCCTGATAACAGGAGGTCAGCACTTGATCCAAGGTCTATTTAGCCAGCAGTTTTGTGCTCATTTCAACATAGAGGTCTAAACAAACCTACCCCCAGGAGACACCATACCTGTAGGCTTTCCCCATGCCATGTAGGATATCAGCTCAGTAATAGAAAAACACCCACTGGCTTTTGAAGTAATTCCTACTTCCTTCACCTCCTTTCTTCCTCACAAAGCATGGATACCTGTACCAATGTGCTCATGCCAGAAGCTCCTTTCCCCTCATCATAGCCAGCCTGGCCAAGACAAGTTTTGAGTGTCCTGGATGTGAACCAGGTTATTTTCCTAAGCCCAGGGAACTGAACAGACAATAGATGCTCACATTCTAAAGCATTTTACATCCTTTTTTGACAAATGTGACATAAAGTATGTTCAGTGTTACAGAAGTAACCACTCCTGCCTTCTCCTCAACAGGGAGCAGGGCATTTGTACAACACAAACAGGGGACTTCCCTCTGACACGCTTCAGAAAATGGCTTTGCTCAGGCAAAGGTAGCAAACCTACACCAACATTCCCAAGTCTGAGAGGACACCATCCTATGATTTCCTCATAGAGATGGTCCTCAGAGTTTAATTCCTGTAGTTTTTCATGAGTGTGCAAAGGCTGTGTGAAGAATTATGGGTTTGGTTTAGAAATCTAGAACATACTTAAAAAGAAAAACTGAAGGAAAACCTCCCAACAAAGTTTTGTGGACCAGACTTCTCCCTTTCTGCTGTGCTTAGTGCAGTGGTAAGGCTGTCACTTATGGCTCCCTAACACATCCCCATGGGCTGCTCCAGCTTTCACCAGATGGCAGTGGTGCCTCAGGGACTATCCTTCACACAGGTTAACAGCAGGCTCTCCTCCCCTCTTCCTGGCACGCCTACCAAATGGAGGGCTTTGGGGAGAAAATCTTCTCTGTCCTGCTCAAGACTCTCCCATTTCTTGTGGCATCTGCAGCAGGATGTTATAGAAAATCTCTTAATCCATAGGAGTACCAGAACAGTGAGAACAACACTAAAAAATAGGTGGTCCTGGCAGTTCCTGTAGCTACATCTACAGACTTCTGTGAAATTCCATAGATTCATTCTGTTACTAAACTCGAAAGGACATTTTTTACAAATACAGGAACAA